AATTTGTGTGCTCTCTTGCTGAGCTGCCTTTGCAGAGAACTTTGATACCTGTTTTCTGAAAGTTGCCTAATGGAAAACTCGAAAAGAACATTCTGTGTTTCCAATTTCACTGTCACTGCAGTCTATATGAGGAATCAGTCCTTGATTTGGGGAAGCCACTTGGTTGCAGTTCACAGTAAGGAAACCGTATGGGCTTTGTGGGAGGAGTAAGGGCTTGTAGATTCCTTCAGGAAAGCTGCCTGCACTGACCACACCACAAAAATATTGATAAGCTATCCCCCTTTTATAAAAGATGTGTTTATGCATATAAAAGATGTATTTATGCATACAGGGTATAGGCCAGAGGTGCAGGGGAGGTGAGAGGCTTCACCAGAGAAAGAGTGGGGAGCAGAACAGACAGATCAACACAGTACACTGCTGAGGGGAGCAGTGGGTGGGTCATAAGAGGTCTGCTGTGCCATGTAGATCACCTCCGGGGTCAGGAATTGAACACCCACTGAAGCCGCTGTGGCCAGCTTGCAGTGCTGCGTCCTAACCCATTGCACCACCAGGGAGGGCCTATCTCCTTTTTCTAAAATCAAATCTACAGGTTCATTTAGTATGTGTAGCTGAAGTTTTTGCTTTTGTGTTTTGTTTTGTTTCGTTTTTAAAAAGATTTATTTACTTATGCATTCAGAATTGGGGTACATGCCAGAGGTACAGGGGCAGTGAGAGGCTTTACCAGAGACAGAGTGGGGAGCAGAACAGGCAGATCAACAGAAATACACTGCCTAGGGTAGCAGCGGGCGGGTCAGAAGAGATCTGCCATGCCATTTGGGGTCAGCTCCTTGGCTGGGGATGCAGCTCCTATTGCAGTGGCTTCGGAGAGCTTCATAATGCGGTGCTTTAACCCATTGCACCACCAGGGAGAGCCCTTGATTGTTTGTTTTAATAGGTATTGTTCATAATCTTTAAATCTTGGAAACAGTAAGGTACAAATGTCTGTTGTGTTCACTTTCCTCATGTTAGAGGGGGCAGAGGCATTTGCGTTGTGAAATATTTTCACTGGACTAGGAAAGCATCAAATTGTTGCAGAAAATTGTGGACTTAAAATTTCTGGCCCCAAAGCAAATGAATACTCCCAATTCTTTGGGTTCATTTCATCAAACCAGCGCCATTTTTTCAATAAAGGAAAACAATTAGTTTTTGTCTCCTCTTGAAAACAGTGGAATTATCATGGCTCTCACAGATAAACTTGCCATATGTTTGTGCATTATCTCAAGCTCTTCTTAGCTTTATTGGTGAACCACATTTTGTATCTGGAGTATACTTAGGGACATAGCCATCACTACTACATATTTAGCTGTCTCATATTTAGGCTGATATTTAAATAATTAATAAAGTATATCATAAATAAGGATAAGAGATTGAAATTCACTTACTGTGATATGACTTGTTCTGAGGGAAAAATCCTCAAGAATCTTTTTCTCCTGAAACACCGATAATGGTTCAAAACTTTTAGAATACTGTTAAGTCTCGCCAAAAGACACAAGAGGGCGTGAGAGACTTTTCCCCATCCCGGTCAACCCCCTAATTTATGAAGTACACTTACCTCCAATGATGCTTGTTTCACATTTTCCTACCTTGCTCTATTCCTCCTCCTCCCATCTCTCACTGTGAAAAAAAAATCTAATTGCTTCTGTATTGACTCGAAATAAAACATCTAGGCCAAAAGATAAGTGTGTGTCTATTTCAGAGTAAACATGATTTGGGGCCATCAGATTGGTCATGAGTGTACCTGCTGGAAGGCCTAGTTTCCCTACTGAAACAAATTGTTCTAACCAAACTCAGGGCTCAGATAAGTTCTTCCCTGAAGGATCAGTCTTGTCTTTTACTTCTAGACCTGGACAGCCTCATAGTATCAGTTACCCTCCCTAGAGAGTCAATATAAAATTTTTATTCCAGGCCTGGTCTAAACAACCTTGAATTGGCTTAAGCTACAGTTTCCCAGTGTTTGGGCTAAAAAATCCCCACCCAGGCTGGCCCTCAGCCATGGTCCCTTTTATATCAACCTTCATTCAACCTAGTGTGGTCTCCATTTGGCTGCAACAGTACCTGATTCTGGGAGACTAGGCCCAGCATCCAGAAACACTTTAACAGAGTGCTGGTCTCCTAAAATAACCCACTCCTGCTGGTCTAAAAACTGGGAGAAGCCAGATACGGCCCTGCATTTGCCCCTGGGCACATCGAGAGACTCAGTTAAGCTGAAAGAGGCTGCCTTAGGGGTTAACAAAAATTCTCTGTCCAGGTAGCCCCTGCTACAAAAACTCTGGGCCCTCGCCTGCACCTTTCAACTGGCAAAAGATCTATCAGTTACAGATTCTTGCTATATGTTTGCCACCATCCACATACATGGGGAATTTTAAATATAAGGAAAAAAGAGCTAATATCCTCCAGTTGTTAGAAGCAACTGTTCTGGTATCTGGCCAGAGTGGCAATCATTGACTGCTGGGAACATCCTAAAGAAAATCCCTCAACTATTAGAAAAAGTCTGGAGTTTGACTAAAGTGGTGGTTATTCACTAACAAGTTGGCCAACCTGAAAGCCAGGCTGGTAGGATGAGACCCTGCAAGCCAGCAGCCCCTGAGCTGGGGTAGTGTCCATATTCACAGGTCCACCACAATCCTGGCATTTGAAAAACAATTCAGGCTGGTGTCAGTAAAAAAAAAAAAAATTATCCTCAATCCAGGTTGTGGAGTTCGCACGGGGGCAAGATGAGCTTGGGTGATGGCCTGGTGCCAAGCAAAGTCCCCCTCCCCCCATGCAACTGGGGCCACCACAGGGACCCCACTGCTCACTCAATGCCAGGCATCCCCCAATTTTCTGGAGGCTCTCCAGCTCAGCCAGTGCTCTGCCAACGACTACCCAGGTCCTTGCACACTGCCTGGGATGCTTGGGGCCCAAAGAGATGCCACAGGCCAGTTTGATGCCCACGACCAAAAAGCAGCAGTGATTGCACAGCCCACAGCTCTCAGCCTGCAGATGCCAGTTAAATTGCTTGAGTTTGTGGATCTTGCCTGAGTGGACTTGCAACTGCCGACTCACCTACCAGATGAGGTGGCCTCACTGCACCAGAGCAGCCAAGCGAGCCGTCTCCTCCTGCACAGGCCCACACCAGCTCCACCTCACCCATGCTGCCATCTCCTCGTCAGTCCGTTAGCTTCTCCACACCAGTCATCTTGAGCCCCCATGGTGGCCCAGCTGAGATACCACCTGCCCGACAAAACGACCTGGAGCTCCCAGTGCTTAGGCTCTGATTCTGCAGGTGGCCAACTACAGCCGAGCTCATAGGAGACAGAAGACGACTTGTGACAAAATACCAGTGGAATGATGGCTCCTACCAGATGAATGAGCTTTGTTTCCTTCAGTTTGTGTCTTCAGGTACCAGACCTGTGCACAGCCTTACACTGCTCAGTGGCACAGCCCCCTGTCCGGGATGCAGCCCATGGGCTCCTCCCTTTAAAGGCCTGCAGATTGACTTGTTCTGATCTGCACCTAATCCAGGTTACGTCATGGACTAGGCACGTAAGCCATTCTGCCCAAAGATGCCTAAAAGTGGATAGCGTGCATAGATCCTTTTACAGCTCTGCTCCAACCACAACCCAGAAGCTGGTTGGTCAAATCATGGTAGAAGTTAGAGGAAAAGCTAATGGATATGCATAAACTGTTGGACTGACCTGAGTGTTGGTTGTTTTTCCTCTTTCCTCTTTGATTTTTTTTTTTTAAAGATTTATTTATTTATTCATACAGAACTAGGGTACAGGCCAGAGGTGCAGAGGCAGTGAGAGGATTCACCAGAGACAGAGTGGGGAGCGGAACAGGCAGATCGACGAAGTACACTGCTGAGGGGAGCAGCGGGCGGGTCAGGAGAGGTCTGCCACACCATGTGGTCACTTCTGGGGCAGGCAGGAATCGAACTCATGCAGAAGTGGCTTTAGCTTCTTAGTGCTGTGCTTTAACCCGCTGCACCACCAGAGAGGGCCTCCTCTTTGATTTGACAGTTCTCGTTGTATTAGCTTATTGCCTGCCCTGACAAAGATCTGGGATCAGGCCTCC